ACTTGTTGAGTTTCTTTATCATAACTACTTTGAATTCTCCATCATTTAGATTTTAAATTTCTGTGACTTCAGGATTGGTTTCTGGAGACTTGTCATTTTCCTTCTGCTCTGAAGTGTTACTGTAGTTCTTCATGGTGTTTGATGAAGTGATCCTTTGCCAGCACATTTGTGGTAGCATCAGGTCACAGATTCCACCTGCCACCACTGGCAGGAGCTGTGTTTTCTGATCATGCCCCATCAGCTGGAAGTTGTGCCAGTAGGACTTCTCTGCATTTGCACGACAGCTGCAGCTGCTTGGCAGGTCATTCACTCACATGCAGGCAGGCCCTCTGTGCTCTGCTGGCAGTTTGCTCTCATGTGGGGCCACTGTACTTGGCAGGTGGGAGGGGAAGGGCCCTTTCTTTCACGTGCAGGCCAGCTCTGCACTTGCAGGCAGTTTGGCTGAGCTGCTGCACTTGGTGGGGGTTCCTTCACAGGGGCTGAGCTGCACCACTCATTGGGGAGCATTCCCATGTGCAGGGCTGCTACAGCATGGTAGGCGGTCTCACAGGCCAGGGTACCACTCTGAAAGCCTTTGTGCACAGGCTGGGCTGCCCCCATCTCCTCTTACAGTCGCGCCAGCCGCTGTATAAGGACCTGCAACTAGATCGCTGCCACTGGAGCAGGGTGAGGGGTGGGCGCTGCTCATCTAGTTCCACTGCCTCCCAGGGATCCAGTCCACCCGCCTTCAGATGCATGGCTGCGTGAATCTCTCAGACATCATGTTGTGCTGTGCAAGGAATCCTCTGCTGGTTAATGAATGTCCATTTAGTTGTAACTTAGAGGAGAGAGACAAAGGGAACAACTCACTCCACCATGATGCTGACATCACTCTCCCTTTGTATTTATTCTGTGCCACTATTATTTTAGCTTAATAATAAGCTTTGAAATCAGTATGAGTCCTCCAACTTTGTTCTTTTTCAAGATTGTTTTGACTATTCTAGGTCCTTTGCATTCCTATGTAAATATTAGAACCAAATTGTCAATTTCAAAAGTCTGCCTTGATTTTATTGGGATTGCATTGACTCTGTAGATCAATTTGAGGAGAATTGACTCAACAATATAGAGTCTTCCAATCTATACATATGATTTATTTCTCCATTTATTTGGGTCTTTATCTATATGAGGCTATTATAAATGCTGTTTTTATTGTACTTTCCAATTGTTCTTTGCCAGTGTATAGAAATATGTACAATTGATTTTTTTTTTTAGAATTTAACAGCCTTATTGAGGTGTAATTTACATGCCATAAAAATCACTCATTGTAAGTCTGCAGTTCAATGTGTTTTTATGTAGATTTATATAGTTGTGAAACTATTACCAGAATCCAGTTTTAGAGTATTTCCAGCACTCCAAAAAGTTCCTTTTTGCCTGTTTGCAGTCTCTCCCCACTCCCAAGCCAGCTCCAGGCAACCGCTGATTTTCTTTCTGTCTCTGTAGTTTTACCTTTCTAGAAATTTCATATAAATAGAATCATATAATACCTTAGTCGTATATGTCTTACTTCTTTAACCAGCATACTATTTTTAAGGCTCATCATTGCAATAGCTCATTCCTTTTTTATTGCTGAATAGTATTCCATTGTATAGATATACTACATTTTGTTTATGCATTCATCAGTTGATGGACATTTGGATGGTTTTCAGTTTGGGGCTTTTATGAATATTGCTACTATGAACATTAGTGTGCAAATTTTTGCCTGAACATATATTTTCATTTCTCTTAGGTGTATACCTAGGAGTGGAATTGCTGGATTATATGGTTACCATGTTTAACTGTTTGAGGAACTGCAAGACTGTTTTCCAAAGTGGCTGCAACATTTTACATTTCCACCAATAATATATGAGGATTCTGGGGCCGGCCCGGTGGCTTAGCAGTTAAGTGCGCGCGCTCCGCTGCTGGCGGCCCGGGTTCGGATCCCGGGCGTGCACCGACTTCTCCGGCCATGCTGAGGCCGCGTCCCACATACAGCAACTAGAAGGATGTGCAGCTATGACATACAACTATCTGCTGGGGCTTTGGGGGAAAAAATAAATAAATAAAATCTTTAAAAATATATATATATATATATATTTGAGGATTCTTATTTCTTAATATCCTTGCCAACACTTGTTATTATCTGACTTTTTCATTATAGCCATCTTAGTGGATGTGAAGTAGTATCTCATTGTGGTTTTGATTTGCATTTCCCTGATGACTAATGATGTTAAGCATCTTTTCATGTGTTTATTGGCCATTTGTATATCTTCTTTGGAGAAGAGCCTATTCATATCCTTTACCCATTTTTTTATTGAGGTAAAATTCACATAACATAAAATTAACCGTGTTAAAGTGTACAATATCAGGGGCTGGCCCGGTGGCGTAAGCGGTTAAGTGCACGCGTTCCGCTGCGGTGGCCGGGATTCCCCGGTTCGGATCCCAGCACGCACCGATGCACCACTTGGCAGGCCATGCTGTGGCAGCGTCCCATATAAAGTGGAGGAAGATGGGCACGGATGTTAGCCCAGGGCCAGTCTTCCTCAGCCAGAAAAGAGGAGGATTGGCAGATGTTAGCACAGGGCTGATCTCCTCACAAAAAAAAAAAGTGTACAATATCATGTTAAAGTATATAATTCATTGGCATTTAGTACATTCATAATGTTGTGCAAACATCATCTCTATCTAGTTCCAAAATATTTTTATTACCCCAAAAGGACACTCCATACCCATTAAGTAGTCACTTCCCAGTCCCCTCCACCCCAGTCCCTGGTAATCACTAATCTGCTTTCTGTCTCTATGGATTTACCTATTCTGAAAATTCATATAAATGGAATGATATAATATGTGACCTTTTCTGTCTGGCTTCTTTTACTTAGTATAATGTTTTCAAGGTTCATTGTAGCATATATCAGTACGTCATTCTTTTTTATGCCTGAGTAATATTCTATTGTATGGATATATTCCATATTTGTTTATCCATTCATGAGATGATGGAAATTTGGGTGATTTCCACCATTTGGCTATTGTGAATAGTGTTGCCATGAACTTTCATGTATAAGTAATCAAAAGATTTTTTTAACTATTCTAGTTAATTAATTTAACTATTCTAAACTATTTTTGTAACTATTCTTGATCCCTTACATTTCCATAAATTTTAGGATCAGCTTATCAGTTGTCAATTTCTGCAAAAAAGTCTGCTGTGAGTTTGATCACGCTGAATCTGTAGATCAATATAGGAGGTATTGCCATCTTAATACTAAGTCATCTGATCCATGAACAATTTTTCCATGTTTTTTGGTCTTTAATATCTTTCTTTTCTTTTTTTTTTTTTTTTTGTGAGGAAGATCAGCCCTGCTAACATCCATGCTAATCCTCCTCTTTTTGCTGAGGGAGACCGGCCCTGAGCTAACATCTATTGCCAATCCTCCTCCTTTTTTTCCCTTTTTCTCCCCAAAGCCCCAGTAGATAGTTGTATGTCATAGTTGCACATCCTTTTAGTTGCTGTATGTGTGACGCGGCCTCAGCATGGCTGGACAAGCGGTGCGTCGGTGCGTGCCTGGGATCTGAACCTGGGCTGCCAGTAGCGGAGCGCACGCACTTAACCGCTAAGCCACGGGGCCGGCCCTTTAATATCTTTCAACAGTGTTTGATAGTAGTTTTTAATGTATACATCTTCTTTTGTTAAACTGTAACGGGTATTTTTACCATTTTTAATTGCATTTTCCAAATGCTTTTTTATTTGCTGGTATACAGAAATATAGTTGATTTTTAAACGTTGACTTGTATCCTGAAATCATGCTAAGTTTACTTGTTAGTCTAGTTTCTTTGTAGCTTTCTTAGGATTTTCTCTGTAAACAATCATGTCATCTGCAATTAAAGACACTGTTACCTTTTTCTTTCCAATCTTTATACCTTTTATTTTTTTGTATTACCAATTGCACTGTCTAGGAATTCTAGTACTGTATTGAATGGAAGTGGTAAGAGAGCGTACAGCCTTTCTCCTGATTATAGGAGAAAAGCATTCAATATTTCATCATAGTTTTTTGTAGCCATACTAGAATTCTCATAGAGGGCCCTAATCCTGGTTAAAATCAAGAGACACCAGCATTAAGGCCACCATCGTTAGTAGAAAGAGGTTGCCTTTGAGATTTATTCAGAACAACCTTTCCAGGCATGGGGTGGGAACACAACCCACATTAGAATAAGCGAAAAGAGTAATTTGTTGTGATGTGTAATAAGAACATCTAGGAGTCTATCTGCTTCAGGCACAGGGGGATCTGGGGAAGCAAAATGTCATGAGGATAATAGCTCTCTCCATCTCTGGACTCTCTTTTTACACGTTGACTTCAGTCTCAGCAGATCCCCCCACCACCTCTCACCACCTCATTTTGCCAAAGATGTCACCAGCAACTTCAGACTTATTTATGGCCAACCATCTTAGAACTCTAGCAAAATAAACGGGCCTCATTTTTCAACAATTCTGAACAAAAGTATTTGAGGCAACTCAGGTCACATGACCATCCCTGAACCAGTCACTGTGGCCAAGGGAATGGAATGCCCTGATTGGTCAGCCCTCCCCATTGGAAGCAGGGGATGGGGCCAGCCCCACCCAAGTCTGATGGAGTGAGAAGGAGAAGGGCCATTTCCCAAATAAAAATCAGAGTATTGTTGCCAAAAAATGAGGGAATGAGTCCCAGCCAGGCATAAACCACAGCTGCCCGCAGCCTCGTACAGAAGATCTCTCTGTGTTCCAGGTCTGGCACTGTCACTGGACCTCTGTGAGCTTCAGTTTTTCCATTTGTAGCACACAGGTGGTGATCCCTGCCCCTCTTGGCCCTATCTGAAAGATCCAGTGAGGCGCTGTACTGGAAAGCTGTGTCTAAACTGTAAAGTGCAGTGAACATGTAAGGGGTCACAAGAATGATTACTAAGCAGCCGTGCTTACCCATCTGTCCATATGTCCTCTTCTGTCTCCCACACAGAACACCTAAAGAAGCCACTTGAAGACTACATGGCCCTTTTCCCCAGCGTGAGGATTCTCCGAACCAAGAAACGGGAAGGGCTGATAAGGACCCGGATGTTGGGGGCCTCAGCAGCAACTGGGGATGTCATCACATTCTTGGACTCACACTGTGAAGCCAATGTCAACTGGCTGCCCCCTTTGCTTGGTAAGAGAGCCTCCCAGAGCGAGGTGGGCAGCCTGGAATGAGCCAGCCGCCTGCAGGGAGTCATCCGCAAGGGTTCCCTTGTCTGCTTGAGGTGCACCCAGCACAATGCCAGGTGCCATTGAAGATCAGAAGTTCAGGAATGCTCAAAGAGACCTTAAAAATCCATTCAGTCTTACACCTTCATGTTACAGAGAAGGAAGCTGAGATTCAGAGAGGGGAAGTGACTTGCCCAAAGTCATATAGCACATTAGTGTCTAATGACATGATTGCTGCCCCCAGATTACTTCAAGTTTTTTTGGAAAGCAAGCCAGGCTGTCTACTGTTAAGAGCCAAATTGTGGGGGACCATCATCATATCAATGTAGAATAGTTACCATTCACTGCATTGCAGCTCTGAGCCAGGAAGGTTGTAAGCATTATCTCTAATCCTCACAAAACCACGCCAAATCGAAAGTATCCTCTTTTTATGATAGAAGAATCTGAGGTTCAGAGATACTGAGTGACTTACTTGTTCCCTTGGGCCATAAGTGTCAAAGTCACCATCTTTCTCGCTCCCAAGTTATCCTGTTTCAAGATTCCAGACTGCCTCCCTAAATGCATTCCCTCTTAGGAAAGAGTTTCTGGCAGCTCTCAGGGAAGGGCTTTAGACAGAGGGCAGCATGAAGCAGGAGTTGTCCACTCTAGCCTTGTGGACAGAAGGGAGGCATGAGGATTGGAGGCTGGGCAGTGAGGTGTCTCATAGCAGGCTGAAGAATCAGGCCTGAATCCTAAAGAGTTCAGCTTTGATGAAGGCAGTGAGCTGGTGGTGACAGGTGGACCCTGAAGGGGAAATGTCCTCTTGAGACTGGGAGTCAGATGATGGACAGGGGTGGAGGCAGACTGGGGAACAGTTATCAATCTAGAGAGAAAAGTGAACTCCTCAAAAATGGATAGGTACACTCTCCCTAACAGAAAACTTAGGAAGCAAAGAGGATTGAAGTTTAGGGCAAACTGGAGTGTGCATCAGAATCACCTGGAAGACTTGTTAAAACAGAGTGCTGGGCCCCACCCCAGAGTTTCTGATTCAGGAGGTCCGGGATGGGGCCTGAGAAGTTGCATTCCTAACCAACTCCCAGGTGATCCCAGTGCTGCTGGTCCAGGGACCACAGGAGCCCTGGGTAGGCCGCCATTCAGGGGTGAGGACAGAAAGCAAAACCCACACAGTTACATGGGATAATCCAGCAAATTGTTTTCTAACACAGATCAGCGTGGAACATTAGTATTAGATTATATATGCTTCTGACCCCAAGGGTCCAGGATTCCACTGAGTTAGGAAAAAGACATAACTCAGATTTCCTGGTAAACTGTTTATTTAATTAAACCAACAGATCTTCTGCATCTGCCTCTCTTTACTGAAAGAGAACAAAAAGAAAAAAGCCTCATCATAAATCATCTAATTTATAGTCCTGAAGGAACAGCCCATTTGTTGGGTCATTCAGTGACTTGTAAAGAGAATAAAGTGGTGGGGCGTGAAGCTCAGCTTGTAGTCTAAATAGCTCTTAACTCTGTTTCTATGGAAATATGTGAAAGTAATTTTCATAATCTGCAGACATACATGGAAGAAACATTCCCCCTCTTTTTCTTTTGTCTTCTTCCATTAGAAATGTGAACCAGTGGTGTAGATTTAAAAGTCTGTCTCTGCTAATATGAGCAGCTGACAGAGCGCCTCATGGCTGTTGTCTCTGCAGCCAGTAACACCTCTCTGCAGAGTTCACTCTGCCTTCTTTGGAGAGTAGGCATTTCTGAGCATGAGACGGATTCAGCCGCCCCAAAGGAAAGCCACTGGTGATCATCATTTTCTTCCTCCTCATCATCGTGGCTCTGCTAGTCCCTTAGCTTTTTAGGCCACATCCACATTTGAATTTGATGGTTGCATGGTAAAGCAGGCAGGCTAGGCATTATTATCCACATATTGCAGTGGGAAAACTGAGGGGCAAAGAGAATGAGGGAGATGCTCAGCCTTCCAGCTCCTGCTTCTGAGCTTTCTTCAGCAATTCTGGTTACAAAGAACGTTGATGGAGTGCTGATCACACGCTAAGCTTCTTGGCTCCATTGTCCCACTCGGTCTTCACAGAGACACCATGAGATAGGTGCTGTCTTCCTCTGTTTTGTCAGCAAGGAAGCCGAGACTCAGAGGTGTCAGATAACCTTTTCCAAAGTTATACTGCCAGTAGGTAACAAAATCAGGATTTGAACCTGGACCTTCTGTCCCCAAGTGAGCACAGCATGGTGGAATGCTGCCTCTCTGATGCTACCCTTGACCTCCTACCTCCCACAATCAGCCAGCAGCCAGCAGAGCACTGTGCCCTCAACCCAAACCCTCCCTGGAAGGGAAATCCCCCACAAAGCCATGAATAATTAGGAAGGGGGACCCTTCTCTAGATCTTTCCCTGAAGAAGATTCTGAAGCTTCATTAAGAATCCCCAGAGAGCCTGTCCACAAGGCAGATCCAAGCTCCACCCCCAGAGATTCTGATGCAGTGGGCCTTGGGGAGGGGGTGGCCCCAGTGAGGTGGGGGGAGGAGGGGGTTGTTAAACACACTCCAAGTGCATCTAGCACTGGTGGCCCCAGATCCACACTTGGGGACACACTGCCAAAAGCAGCAATTCTCAAACTTTTTGACCACATGCCAGAGTTAGAAATACATTGGACATCTCAATCCAGTACGCAAACGCACACCCATGCAGTATGACTGAAACACATTTCCTGAAACACTACCCTCCCTTATCACCTAGGATGCACCCTGATATTCAGTATTCTTTTGTGGTTCATTACAAACACACACGCACACACACACACACAATCGATTTCCTGACCCACCTATGGATCGTGTCTTACAGTTTAGAAAAAGGCAAAAATGCTGCTTTCTCTCCTGAAAGAAAAATGTGCTCTAACTTGATGAAGCTTGGGCCCTAAGCAACTGCCAGCCCACTCTGGCCCTACCAGGCTCCCCATTCCAAGCCTTAAACTTGACCCCTAGCGCAAGCAGCCAGGTTCCCCAGCACAGCACACTTGCCCCTCGTGGCAGATCACCTGCCCCGAACACTGGCACCCCCTGGCTGCAGTCAGGGCTTCTTGCAGGAGGAGCAGTGAAGGGCAGAGCAAACCAAAGGTTAAAATTCTGGTTGGTAGGTTGGGCAGAGAGTGAATTTTATAGAATCAGCTTCTCCCAGGCTTGATAGAGACTGTAAAGCCATATGGGTCAAGGCCTCCATTTGCCGTCCTGAATCACCTAGCCTATGGCATAGGGCCTCTGCCAGGCCCTGCTTGCATGCCTCCAGTCGTGAGGAACTCACAGCTTCCTGAGACAGTCCGTTCCCACTTCCGCAGTTCTGACTGTTGGAAAAAGTGAGCTGCTGCCTCTCACAAGGAGGGCCATCTGTTCACTGACTGCAGCCAGGAGGTGCCAAGGAACGGTCAGGGGCAGACAGTCTGCCGTGAGGGCAAGTGCTGGGGTACCTGGCTGCTTTGGGCCATGAGTCAAGTTCAGGACTTGGAATGGGGAGGCTGGCAGGGCCAGAACAGGGCCCTCCCAGAAGGAAATTAATCTCTCTTTCTGTAACGATGCTGATCGTTACAGGCACCTGGGCTGAGCACCTTCAAACATTATTGTACCCAGTCCTCATAACAACTTGTGAGGCAGAGTCTGTTCTTCTCCTCATTTCATAGAGGATAACGCTGGGGCTTGGAGATGTTATTTACGGAGCTGACCCAGGGCCCTGTTGTGGGTGGCAGGACTGAGATGGGAGCCCTGGTCCATCTTAAAGCCTGTGCCCTTCCTTCCTCTCTGTGATTTTCACTCCAGTGTTCAGAGAAATCACCCAGGGAATGCATTTAAAATGCGAGTAAGCTGCAGAACAGGGTCCGGCACCTAGCTGCTCCCCATCCTGCCTCCCTGATGGGCATCTCTTGGCTTCTTCAGACCGCATCGCTCGGAACCGCAAGACCATTGTGTGCCCGATGATTGATGTGATTGACCACGACGACTTTCGGTACGAGACACAGGCAGGGGATGCCATGCGGGGTGCCTTTGACTGGGAGATGTACTATAAGCGGATCCCGATCCCTCCTGAACTGCAGAAAGCTGACCCCAGCGACCCATTTGAGTAAGTATGAGCGACACAAGCTGGTCCCAGTGGCTGACGCAGTGACCCCTCGCCAACACACACACAACTTGGGATCGCCACCTGCTTCAAATGTGCAGTGCAGAGGGTCCAGGGCAGATGTCCCCAACCAGAGGCACAGCCCCTCCCAGCTTGTCACAGACCCTGGGCTCACGGACCACCAAGCTGGTCACCTCTTCCTTGCCCCCCTCTGCACAGTTTGCCAGGATTGCCAGCGGGGGTTAATGGAGTCATTCACACTCTCTCCCTCAAGCCTGGCACCCAGTTGTCATCACCACCACCACTTATTGAACACTTGCTAAGTGCCAGGCACAGTGCTGAGCACATTGCACCCTGATCCTCTTTAACCCCCAACAACCATATATAGTAAAAATTATTGTCCATGTTTTCCAAATGGGGACCCCAAGGCTCCAAGAGGTTGAGCAACTTGCGCAGGTCACACAGCTGTGAAGTGGCAAAGGCTGGGTGCACGTGCAGGTCTGTCTGCCTCTGGAGCCAATTTTCCCGTCATTCTGTTACACCCATTGGAAGTATTAGGAAAATAACAGCTTGTCCCACAGTGGGAGTTTGGGGGGTGTGGATGGACTCATAGCACCTAGAATGTGAAAGCTGGAGGGAGCCTTCAGGTAGTGGACTCCAACCCCTTGCAGATGAGGAGACTGAGGCCCTAGGACAGGGCGGGCCTCCTGGGGTACACAGTGAGTTAGCAGGTAAGCCAGAGAGAGAGCTAGGCCCTCTCTGGTGCCTCAGACTCTGGAAAGGGTCTGTTCTTCCACAGTGGGCTCACCATCCCCGCAGCTGTCGCGTGAGCCACTCTAGCTCTCCTGCCAGCGGGGTGGAAAAGATCTTTAGATACAAGGCCGAAGGCTGGGCTCTCCTGCTGGATTAGTTTCCTAATTATTACTGTGGTAATAAATTACCATAAACTTACTGGCTTATTAAACCAAGACACATTTATTCTCTTAAAGTTCTGGAGGTCAGAAGTCTGAAAGGAGTCTTACTGGGCTAAAATCACAGTGTCAGCAGGGCTGCATGCCTTCTGGATGCTCCAAGGGAGAATCCATTTTCTTGCCTTTTCCAGCTTCTAGAGGCTGCTCACATTCTTTGGCTCACGGCCCCTTCCCCTGTCTTCAACGCCAGCAACATAGCATCTTCAAGTCTCCCTCCCCTCCCCTCCCCATCCTCCTTCTTCCTTTCTTCCTCCCTATCACTCTCTCCCCCATCTCACTCTCTCTCCCTCCCTATGCCTCTCCCCCTCCCTCCCCCATCTCTCTCTCTCCCTGTCTCCTGCTTCCATCATCACATCTCCTCTGATTCTGACCCTCCTGCCTCCTCCTTTCACTTATAAGGACCCTTGTGATTACATTGGGCACCAGGATAATCTCCCATCTCAAGATCCTTAACTTGAATCACACCTGCAAAGTTCCTGTTGCTGTGTAAGGTAACATATTCACAGGTGTCCGGAATTAGGACATTGATTTTTTGGGAGAGGGGGGCATTATTCTGTCTGCCACACCTGCCTGACCACAGTTTAACCCAGTGAACCACAGTTCCTCTGTGCCTCACCCTCCACATCTGAGAAAGGGGGCTGTGTTGGCGGCTCAGCCATCTTCATGGACACAGTGCATACCCAGGGTTCCCAAAGGGAGCCCCTAATGCTGTGGGCCCCAGGGAAGGCTCAGAGGCAGGAAGCGGTGGGCTTCTCTGAGGAAATGGACGGTGGCCGTGGCCGAGCATGAGCCGAGAGTGGAGGGCATGAGCAGAGCCCCTGTGCTCCTTCAGCAGGTCAGACATTTGTGTGCCTCTCCTCACCTCCTGTATCCTCAACAGGGTCAAACACTACTATTAGAGCCCCTGCTAGTCCACAGATGTGGTTTAGCCAAGACCACATCATGCAGTCAGCCCCCCCATATGCCTCAGAGTCAATCCCCAGTCGCCCTGAATTCTTGGAGAATACTGCTAACAACAGGAGTAACTAACATCTAGCCTCAGTTGGCAAAGGAATTCCATTTGACGTTACCATGCCCGATCCTCACGATAGTGCCCTCGGGTGAAAGTGGAATTCTCCCCATTTGACCAACGTGGACCCTATAGTTCAGAGAGGAAACGAGACTTGCCCAGGATGACACGTAGCAGAGACTGAGGTCGGAATGGACTGCTCCAGAAAATGGAATTTTCAGGGTAACCAGAACCCCCTTTATAGCTTTAACCTTTGCCATAAGCTGACTCGTAGGCCCTCGATTTGAAAGGTACATAAGGATGGGTCTTGGCCCCTCCATCCCCCTCACTGCACGACGAGGAAGGGGGAAGTTCAGCCCATGCAGTTAGTTAGTAGCAGAGGCCCAGCTAGTTTCCTCTGGGCCTCAGTCTCCTCATGTAGATATTGAAGGGATTGGCCCCACCCTAGAGCAGTGGCTTTCAACCCTGGTTGCACGTTGGGGGTGTGTTAAAAAACAAAAACAAACGCCCAGGCCATCACCCCCCAACAGAGGTGGGGTCCAGGCATCGATGTTTTTCAAAGCTCTCAGATGATGGTGATGTGTGCCCAAGGTTGAGAGTCACTGGCCTAGATGCTTCCTGAGGGACTCTCCATCCTTTGTACCCTCTGATTCCTTCCAGAAGTCTCTCTTCTGTATTGTACTTGGACAAAACCCACGGGGAGAGGCCACCAGAGAAATCCTGGTCATTTTCTGCCACTTCCCCACCGTCCCAGCAGGCGGGCAATCTGCAGGCACAGCATGGTCTAAAGATGCTTGAAAGACTCGGGCTTTGGTGGCAGGCACCGGTTTGAATCGCAGCTCATCCACTTACTAACTGCATGCCCTTGAGCGGAGTATGTAGCATTTTTTGAATTTCACATTCCTCCATCTGAATAGGGGGCTAGTAATGGAGCTTTCTGAGAGCTGGAAATAATGTCGGTAAAGTGAGTGGCACACACTTTAGACACTCAGAATTCTTATTATTGTTATTGCTGAACACAGCAGAAAATAGACCTGGCTGGAGGAGAGGCCTCCCTCCGGAGGCAAGCCTCGAGCATCCAAAATGCCTTCAGGCTAATATCCTGCGTCTTCCGGGGCATCTCCTCCTTGGCCCCTGCCACAGCCTCCACCCAGGCTGGTTTCGTGTGTGGAGTCTTGGGTTTAATTTCCCAGAAAGCACTGAGTCCCAAACCCTCTCTGCCCCTCCAAGCAGTGTATTTATGGTTCCAGCCAAAAAACCCCAAACCCCACAACCTTCAGAAAACAAAGGAAAGTTGATACTAACGACACTTTATTTTCTTGTAGTACTCAATACTTGTAGAAATATACTAGCAACGTGAGCTATGTCTCCATTGTGTAGACAGGGAAACAGGCTCAAAGAGGTTAAATCAGAGCCGTCTAGTAGAAATATAATGCCAGCCACATATGTACTTTTAAATTTCCTAGTAGGCACATAAAAAAAGGTAAAGAGAAGCAGGTAAAATTCATTTAAGTAATATATCTTATTTAACCCAATATATCTAAAATATTCACATTTTAACATGTAACCTACACTTTGAAATTATTGAGATCTTTTCTGTTCTTTTCTTCATACTAAGTCTTGGAAATCCGGTGTGTATCTTACACTTCCAGCACATCTCAGTTCAGACAAGCCACATTTCCAGTGTTCAGTAGCCACATGTGTCCAGTGGCTCCCATACCGGGGCAGCACTGGGTCCAGTGGTTAAACACGTCATCTCAGATCACACCGCAGGTTAAGGAGAGCTCAGGTTGGAGTGAGCGTTTCCCATTTCTGATCCCCTGTCCTTTTCACTCATCGCCTGCTTCCCGATTGTTCCTTCCTGACAGGAGGCAATATATTGTGGCCGTGAGGGGTGTGGGCTATGGCATAGATTAGAGATTCACATCCCGGCAGTGCTGCTTAGGAACTGTGAAGGCTGGAGTACCTGTCTGTACCCCTGTTGCTACCTGCATAAATGGGGAAATAATAATGAGGTTCACCTCATGAGGTCAGTGTGAGGAGTGAAGTCATTTTGTTAATAAGTTACAGGCACACCTTGTTTTATTGTGCTTCACTTTATTACGCTTTGCAGATTTTGCACTTTTTACAAGACCCTCCACCAACAAAATGATTACAACTTGCTGAAGGCTCAGATGATGGTTAGCCTTTTTTAGCAATAAAGTACTTTTTAATTAAGGTATGTGCATTGTTTTTTTTGACATAATGCTATTGCACACTTATTAGACTACAGTGTAGTATAAACATTACTTTTATGTGCACTGGGAAACCAAAAAATTTGTGTGCCTTGCTTTATTGTGATACTCGCTTTATTGTGGTGATCTGGAACTGAACCCACACTCTCTCTGAGGTGTGCCTGTAGTTCAGCACCTGGCATATTCCAGCCCTCAGTCAGGATTCAAGGGGATCCCCTCTTAAAGGACTCCCCTCCTGTGCTGTCAAGGTTCATCTGCTAAGGAAGCTTGGGAGGCGTGTGGGTTAACTAAGCTCTTTTTACGTCAGTCTGCTTCCCGTGAGCTTGCAGTTCCCGAGGGCAGGAGGGGTGTGGAGGTTGCTGCTGGAATGTGTTTTGGTTTGGGGGTTTGGAGTTTTCCAGTGGAGCTGGACAAGGACATGGCCACTCTGAGAGATTTTCACACAGCAAACACTGGTGGCGCCCCTCAGGTCCCCTACCCCATGGGGGACTCAGGCAGGCTTGGCATAATCCCGCGCTGACTGCCTGTTCCCCGTGGCACCCCATGATTTATCATCTCTGTGCCCCTGCTCCTGTTGTTTTCTCCTCCCGGGTGCCTTCCCTCCCCCCAGTTCCCCCCTGTCCAAACCCACCTGCAGTGCCACCCCCTCTGAGCACCCTTCCTTGACTCTTGCCCCCAGCCAGGCTCCTCGCCCCCAAAACCTGGAGGCAGACACTCCCTCCTTTCACACTCCTGTAGTGCTGTCTGCACCTCCCGTAGGCCCTTGTCACACCCGCCTGTCTTCTGGATCCTTCCATCCTGAGGTGGCTGCCCCACCCCACTGGCATCCCCTGAAGTTCGACCCTGATTTACCTCCATATTTTTCCAGTGTCTCCTTCTCAGCTGGCACTCAATCAATGAACTAAGGAGAGAGTGAATGAGTGGAGATAATCTCATCCCAGTTTAACTGAAAGAACATAGACTGTGGCTTCTTCTGTAAACTCTCAGCAGAACAAATGTCCGTGCTGGGCTGACTGAGCACGAATCATCAGAGGCGCCTGCTGGAAAACACAGCGTCCTGGGCTCCATCCCAGAGACTGTGTCGTCAGTCCGGGGTAGGGCCCAGCCGGCTGTATGGTTTTTCATCTCTCTAAGACATTCTGCAGCCGAGACAGGCTTGGAAAGACCTGATTCGGACCATTTAACTAGTGGGAGGACTATAGAGATATATATGATGCAGCTACAAAGCCCACGGAAAAAAAGTGCTGTGATTTCATTTCACAAGTGTTCTTAGGTATTAACCATGTAAAGGAGCTTTGGGTCCGTTTGGTTAAAATGTAACATTTATCAAGGGAAGTGTAGGGGAGAAAGAAGAAAGCCTGGGCCCTCACTTCACAAAGGAAGGGCCTTGGATTCCCTGCTGGACACGTGGGCTGTGTTCACAGAGCAGCCTGGAACAGCATCCCTGGGGAACAGCAGGATGAGAGTGCCTGAGGAGCACGTGGCCGGACATCCCCGTCTTCACACCACGCTCTTCTTCCCTGACAGGTCTCCCGTGATGGCCGGTGGACTGTTCGCCGTGGATCGGAAATGGTTCTGGGAGCTGGGCGGGTACGACCCGGGCCTGGAGATCTGGGGAGGGGAGCAGTACGAAATCTCGTTCAAGGTGAGCCAGCCCTCGGGAAGCCCCCTTCTCGGCACAGCCCCCCTGGCACCTGTCCTGGCAGGCTGTCTGCCTGGTGTCTGTCTGCGCCTGGACAGACTGGAGGCCTCAGGGCTCCGCAGCCCTCTGCTCCCCAGGTGAATAAGTCAGAAGCCGCCGGCCGCTGCTTACTGTGTGTGTGTTGGGGGTTGGGGGGGTAGGTATGCCCAGGCTGCCAAAGGCTGGCCTCAGCGGAGGCTCCGACTGCCGTTTGCCTTACATTGTCCCTTCTTAAGATCGCAGTGTTGAAATAAGACAAGTCTCACTTCCAGTAAAGGTGGCGTGTCTCCCATTGAGATGTCCAGCAAACCAGCAGTGGGGGCAGAAACCAAGAAGGCCAAACAAGACACACAGGCCAGGAGGGATGCTCTGCTCTGGGAATGGCTCCCTGGCCTCACAGATGCCAAGTTGGCCTCAGTGGCCACCCCTCTCAAGTTTTCCCTTTTGTGTCTGTCACTGCCAGGGTTTCACGTAGAGACCAGAGGTTAAGAGCTCCACTTGTGGAGTCAGAAAGGCCTGGGTTCAAATCCCAACTCCACCACTCAGTGCACTGTGACTTTGGGCAAATTAGATGACCTCTCTGAGCTTTCTTTCCTCATCTGAAATAGGAGAATAATAATACTACCTACCCTACAAAGCTATTGTGAAGATTAAATGAAAAATATCTAGAAAGTGCTTAGCATACAACCAGCAATTAATAATTGATAGAAATTATTAAAGATTCAGTGAATAAATATTTACTGTAACCTATTAGACCAGCATATGTGCTGTAGAAGCCTTCTGACAATGGTGGGAAAGGAGATGATGGTTACTAGTTAACCACCCAAATTTCTGAGGCCACCTTCTCCCCTTTGTTTGTGGAATTCTGTGAAGAACAGAGGCTTGGTCCCTCTAAGGGGAAGGTTAGCTTGTCCTGTGCCCTTGTTCAGCCAGCACCTGCTTCTGACATCCCCAGAAGCCCTGCTTAGGCACATCCCCAGCTCATGAGGCATGGCAAGTACCGTTACTAGGCCAACCCCTGTGAATACACGACCCTGATGTCCCCCCCGAGTCAGGCATCAACGTTTTCTGCAAAGGACTGTTGTCACACACAGCGAGTAAGATTTCAGTGCTGGGGTCAGATTGCCTCGGTTAGATCTAGCTCTGCCACTGCCTACCAGCTGTGTGACCTTGGACAAGGAATCCTCACCTCACTGAGCCTCAGTTTCTGCTTCCATGAAATGGGTTTAATGATACTTGCAACTCACAGGGTTGTTGAGAGGATTAAATGAGACCATGCTTGTTAGATGCTTCCTAGTAAATACCCTAAAGATTATTTTCATTATCGACGTCGTTATTGTCATTATGTATGCCACTGGTTGAGCAGTTCAGAACTGGGGAACATGCATTCCTGATTAGCAAGAAAACAACCACTTGAGGGGCTGGCCCGGTGGCACAAGTGGTTGGGTGCGCGTGCTCCACTGCGGCGGCCCGGGGTTCGCCGGTTCAGATCCCGGGCGCGCACCAACGCCCTGCTTGGCGGGCCATGCTGTGGCGGCGTCCCATGTAGAGTGGAGGAAGATGGGCGCGGATGTTGGCCCAGGGCCAGTCTTCCTTGGCAAAAGAAGAAGAGGATTGACAGATGTTAGCACAGAGCTGATCTCTTCATGAAAAAAAAAGAAAAGAAAACAACCACTTGGAATTCTACTGAAACATTACTTTGGTTTGAAAAGCAGTCTGTGTGTGTTTTACCTCCAGAGCTCTGAAGGTATCTCCCATAAGGGGACCAGCCCCCTAAATAACACTAATATTAATATCCAGGGGTGAGATTCAAAGTATTTAACAACAATGATGGCACATGCACCAACCAGTCAGAGCGATGCCTGCCGTAAAAACTGTGTATCCACCCTGGTGTGCAGCAGCTGAAGTCCAGCCCTGCGCCAAGCCCATCACACGTGCTGGCTGATTTAATCCTCACAACCCGAGGAGGGGGGGGGTATCATTATTGTACCCATTTCACAGCGAGGCAAGTGGGGCTCAGACTGAGGCCCCACACAACTGGAAGTAACAGAACGAGGACCTGAACCCAGGTCTGCCTGACTGCAGAGCCCGTGCTCTGACCTGCCCTGTTTCGTAGGCCTCTGTAGGGACATGAGAGAAAAGCACTTGAGAGGAAAACTAGCCTGAGAAGTTGGCGGCAGTCTCTCACCATTTCTTCTCAGTTTTTGTCTCCTCCTGGCATTATTCTTAATTTTCTGGGATATTCTGCAGCCTCTCAGTGAAGTGAATTAGTTAACGGTTTAAGTCAGAAACTGCAAATAGGTTTCCTCTCCCAGGTGGCTGTCATCCACAGCCGCAGTTCTTTGTTGATATGTGTTCTGAGGCTGCATCTGAGCTTATTGGAAAAAGAGTGTTGATTGATTAGTGATGTCTGCCCTGGGTGCAGATTTGGTGAGGGATGGCATGTATGTCATTTATTTAGTATCCCTAGCCCATGCAATCTAGTTTTCCAAATGTCACATCCTTATGGGTACAGTGAAATCACACACACGGAATCAGAAGAGTTTAACCGCACAGTTCCTCCATCCATCAATTAAACTTGATTTATGACATTTTCTACCATGTTTATTCCCCGAAATGGGCACATCTGTGTTCTGAGTTCTCAGCAGAATGTAAACTTAGTAGGGTAAGGATCTTTGTGTGTTTTACTCCCTGCTATACCCCAAGTACCTAAAGGATTGCCTGGCACGGAGAAGGCACTTAACAAATACTTTTGGTTGAATCCTCAGAGCAGGTGTGTCCCTGGCCAGAACCAGCCTCTTGGCCAAGCTCCTTGGTCAATAAGACCCCCTTCAGAAACTCCCTCTGTGGAGAACAGTGAATGGAGAAGGATTTGCACAAAGGAATTTCTAAACCCAAATTGATTTCATTCTGTGTGTTTCAAAGACCCATCTAATGATGCTCATCAGGCAATTACAGCAGAACAAATGGCATTTTTCTCCACAGAGTTTATTTACAGAAGACTTGGTAATGAAGCCGTGTTGGAAGTCTCTCATCCGGGAGGGGAAAGGAGCTTGGCTCCTGTTACCGTTTGATCCGATTATGTCCTTCACTCTCAAGAGGAAAGGAGATGGTATAATGAGGAGGCTCCCAGGTCTGGAAGGGAGACTTTTCTCCCTCGGCTTTCTCTCTCCTGGCTTTGAGAGCGTGAGTTTCCGGAGCTGGTGACAGCCCATGTGCCAGTGCATTGTCTCCCAGGCCCCTCTGGAAGGCCTGCCCACAGCACTGAGGGGACAGGAGAGCCCATTTGTCTGCTGGCGATGCCTCCCTGAAATGCCCGGTGTTCAGTTTCAGCCAGAGCGGAGCATTCGCAAAGGGCCAAATTCCCTCTGATTTATCTCTGCTGAAATCCCTTTTCTTCTTGGTGACAGAGAAAAGAGATTGGTCTGAAAGGCATGAGCATATTTTCAGAAATTAAGATAAATTGATATGTGCCATCAGGGCTGATGGATTAATAATTTGGCTCCAATTCCAGACCAGACCATCTATCCGGCTGAGAACCCCAGAAAAGATGTTCCAAAGGCTCTGAAATTTCTAGAAGAGTCACTGACTTCCTTTTTCCTCTCTCTCCCTTAGCCAGCAGAGCTTTTGTTTCCAAAAGGCACATCACACTATCAAAGTTGTCCCGCTTTGTGGTTAGAATCTTCCCAGTTGTAGTGGTTGGTAAATCTTTAACTCTGTAGCTGGCCCACACCTACATGAGCTGACCCCTGCTCATCCCTCCATCCTCCCCCTTGTCCTCTTACCACATTGCATTAGCCTGGACTCTTGGTTACAGGTAACCAAAATCCTAGTCAGTCTGATTTAAGCAAAAAATCAGAATTGATTGGCCCATACAACTGAAATTCCAGGGTAAACCCTCCAGGCCTGGCAGGATCCAGGCACTAACCCATCTCATGCAGGCTCCATCTCTCTCAGTCCCTGGGCTCTGCCTTCATCTAGGTTGGCTTCCCATTCCGACAGGCTTTCTCTCCTGGAAATACCCAGCAGCCCAGTGGAAGGAGAGTTTCTCTTTCCCATCATTCCTGTAGAAGTCCCCAAGTTGAGTATCACTGGCCTGCACAATCAATCCCTGAACAATGTTCTGATTGGTCAGCCACAGTCACATGCCCATCCTGGAGCCAGGAAGGTGGGGATGGGCCCGTTCCCCAAAGAAAAGTCCAGGCACTGTGCCCAGAAGAGGGAATGGAGGAGAGGCAGGGCAAACCCCAGATGTCCACCTCGCCCAGCCATACAGAACTGCTCACAAGCCCCAGGCTCACATGCCAGGCCATCTTTGGCAGCATCCACTATTCACTCTTCCTGAAATGCCTTTCCTTAGTCTGGCCAACACATACTCATCCTTCGGGCTCAGCTCATGTAGATGGTCCCCTCTCAGCCTTACCTGAGCTCCCTGTGCTGATTAGGGTGCACCCCAACACCACCCGCAGCATGGCTCTGAATACCTTGTGTTGACATGACCCAAGGGTCAGCCTCTCTTCCCCACTGGACTCGGAGCTCTCTGGAGGCAGGGAGTGGGTCTTGTCTATACCCCAGTGTCTGGCCCATAATAGGTGTTTTAAATTACTTTGTGGCATCAGTTCCTACCTGATAAAACTTCCTTGCCCTGCCCTTCCCAGACTCATATCACCATCTTTGGGTAATGGTGGTGTGGTGGGAAAGGTCTTGGTGAGAAGGCAGGGCACTGGCTTCTTATCTCCGCTCTCCGTCCATCTGGGGCCCTTGGACCAGTTGCTTGACTGGTGCTGATAAAGAGTTTTCCTTCCTACCCCATGAGATGGGATCAAACAAGATGTTGTGAGGAAAGCCCTTTGACTTACACAGGTACGAGGGGTGGTTTGGATTAGAGGTGGTGGTGGCAGGACGAGCAGAAGGGGACTGCACAGTGTCCCCAGGAGGCCAAGGTTAAGATAGTTTTCAACTCT